GGTGACCGTCCAGTCTCTTCTTGAAGATTTCCAGGGTAGGTGATTGCACCATGTCTGGAGGGAGCTTATTCCACAGTCTGGACACCCTGACTGTGAAGGAGTTTTTCTTCATAGTAGTCATGCAGGAGTTCAGTTTTCTGCTGAGTGTCAGTAAAAAAACTGTCCTGAGTTGTTAAGCAATGGCCCCACACTTCCATTTGTTTTCATTCCTGTTCTCTATATACCTAAAGAAGGACTTATTGTTGCTGGTTTAAATTCAGTCGCTGCTGGTCGCTGCTGGCTGATTCATAGATTGTAGAGTCGGAAGGGATCACAAAGGATCACTGTGTCCGACCCTGGACCGAGGTCAGATGACCCCAGCCAGGTGACTATCTAGCCTCTTCTTGAAGACCTCCAAGCTAGGTGATAGCACCACCTCTCTTGGAAGCCCATTCCAGATCCTGGCCACCCTTACTTTGAAAAATTTCTTCCTAATAACTAACCTAAATCCACTCTCAATTAGTTTACACCCGTTATTCCTAGTCACTCCCTGGGGCGCCCTAGTAAACAGCACTTCCCCTATTCCCCGTTGACCTCCCCTAATAAATGTATAGGCGGCCACAGGATCTCCCCTCAGCTGTCTCTTGTGAAGGCTGAAGAGATTCAGCTCTCTCAACCTCCCCCCGTAGTGTCTATCATGAAGGCCACTAATCATGCGAGTGGCCCTCCTCTGGACCCTCTCCAGATTCCCCGCGTCCCTCTTGAAGTGCGGCGCCCACAACTGGACACACTACTCCAGCTGCAGCCTGACCAGTGCCGCTGAGTGGGATCCCTGCAGAGGCCATAGGTGGTTGGTGGTGCAGGGGAAGCAGCAGCAGCAGAGCTCTGCTGTCCTGGTGACCACCTATTCCCCATGACCTATTGCCATCACCTACCAGCCCCTGAGGAGCTCCTGGCTCCTGCTCCTGTCCCTGACCCACCGTGGTGTCACTCTGCACCCACCCCACCACCGCTGGGGGAAGGAGGAGAAATGTTGCTGTTCCATGCAGGAGTGGGCAGGAAGAAAGAGCAGGGAGGAGTGTGTGTGTGCATGGGGGGGAAGGCAGGGGGCAGGTTCCCTTGGACTCTGGCCCCAGTACAGCCCCCAGCACCTGAGGTCAAGGGAGGGGGGGTTTGCACCCCACCCCCCAGCTGCCCTTCCCTCCCCCATGATCAGAAACACACACACACACACACGCACAGCACCCTCCCCTCCCCCCAGGGACCAAGGTATCTGGGACACACACACCAGCCATTACATCCCCATCCGAGCCCAGGAATCATATACACATGCGCGCACATGCACACAAACCCCCCTGCCCAAACCCAGGAACCCAGGTGTCCACACACACACACACACACACACACACACACACAAGAACCCAGGTGTCCAGTACACACACAGACCCACACACACAGACACACATGCACAACACACCCAAGAACCCAGGCTTTTGACAATCCACTCACAAGAACCCAGGCATGTCACACAAGCACACACCCACCCACTCCCTTAGGATCCCAGGCATCTTAGACACACAAACCAGCTTCCAAACACACACACAACTCCAAGAACCCAGGCATCACCCCTCCCGAGGAACCCAGCTTTTGACCTACCCCCTTCCCAATAACCCAGGGGTCCCACACGCACACACACACATGCACACTCATGTGCAGGCACACAAACCAGTCATCACATAAACACACACATGGACACACACACAAACGCATATACGTGCACTCCCCCTCCCAAAGAACCCAGGCATCTGGGAGACACAAACTAGTCATCACCCCTACACATCCCCACATACAAACACAGACACACAAACACACGCATACATGTGTACCTCCTCCCCCCCCACCAAGAACCCAGGCATCTGGGACACACAAACCAGTCATCACACACACACACACACACACACACACACACACACGTTCGTTTCCTCCCCCTCCCCCCACAAGAACCCAGGCATCTGGGACACACACACACACGTGCATTTCCTCTCCCCCACCCAAGAACCCAGGCATCTGGGGGACACAAACCCCCCCACCACATTTTTTCTCTACCTCTGCCTATGTTGGTGCCACTCCTTCCTCCCTTCTCAGCACTTCCCCAATCTCCCCCCTGCCCAGGGGTGAAGGCCCATTGCAGGTATTCAGATGCTCACTGTGCCTTACCAGGCTGGTATAGCTGGCAGTTTTTACACAGCAGGATAGGGAGAGGGCACATCACATGAGCAAAGTTAGCAATAAACCTGACACAGGCTGCAAGATGTGAAATATGAAGCTGGGCTCTAAATTGTCACCTCCAACTTCACCTTGCCCAGCAGCCTTTTGGGTCTCTGGGATCTGAACCAAGGGGAGAGAAATCAAAGGAGATCTACCACCGTTATCCATCCTGGCGGTAATGCAATCATCCACTAGGAATTGGCACCTAACATGGCTCTGACCATGGGTGTAGGTGGAGACTTGACCTCATCAGCAGGGTCCCAGCTAGACTTTTCCATGTCCCCAGGCACTTGCTGGAGCTGCTGTGGGAGAGAAGCAAGTGAGGCTGGCTGCATCCCCACACAGGGCCTGATCCATTTTGGCTGGCAGGTGCACTGGTGGAATTAGATGCATCCTTGTGCTCCTGTTCAACCTTGCTCAAGGCCCTGAATGCAAGCAATTATTCATCTACTTTTGTGCCACAATATCCGCTTCTCCATAAGTCTGTGTCACAAAAAGCAGTAGGAACTGCCTTTAGAAAGCAGGCTCTGTGAAGAGACAGCAGGGGACCTTAACTGATCTGCACCCATGCTCCCCTCTTGCAAAGGGGTGGTTAAGATTTCAGTTCCTTTGACATGCACTTCCTCGCCTACACACATTGCTCCCCAAACTGCACAGCCCCTTAGAAATACAAGAAGTCATGGGAACCTACAAAATGTGTCAAAGTCCCATTCCCTCCCTTCTTTCTGTGACCACCTCCAAGAACAAGACAAACCAGCCCTCCTGCCAAAAAACTCTCATTCAAAAGTCACAAGGCTGTTTTCTTAAACACTGCAATGTA